GGGCGGGGCCTCGGGGAAGGGGTGGGGCAAGGGTGTTCTGTTTTTGCCAATAGAAAGTGGGCGACTCTAGAAGACAGTAATACCCCAGGGGGCGTGAAGGTCCAGCAGTAAAAGAGTTAAAGGAAGCTGGTTAAGACGGTAGAATTGTACCGCTTGGGCCACCAGCTGGCAGGACAGCATGGGACCGCCTCATCCATCCACCTCGCAGCCGCCTTTCCCTCAGAGCACAGTTCTCCCCCTCTGGGCCTGCCCCTTCTGCGGTAAGACCTGCGGCTCCAGAATTCGGCCGGGCCGCGGAGCCACAAATAGGAGGGCGACAGGAAGACGTCCTGCTCGTTATCGAGTGACCGCTGAGAGACCCTGCCTGGCTTGCAGGTAGGGGATCTCCACCGTTTGCCTCTCAGAAGGAGCCCTGGCAGGTGCACGGGAAACGGGAGATGATGAGCTCTCTCCCTTGGGCGTGCGAAGGTTCTGGGGGGTCCGCGCGGCTCTGTAGGAGGGATGGGAACATCTCCCCATGGGGGGTGTCTCTCAGCTCTGCTAACCCCAGGATTCCTGAAGCGCTTGTCCCATAAGCCGATTTGCTCCCTACCTTGAAAAATAAATTTCGTATCTCCATGGTGACCTCACGGTTCAACCTGCAGCCGAGGCATTGAGAGGCCTCGATTCAGAGCGTCCATGCCAGTTAGCGGGCCTTATGCAGGCCTTGTGCTTGATGCCATCGTCAGAAAGGGCAACCCTGTACACCTTCCATGCCACGTGTTCAAGGAGCTGGCGCCGAATACGCCTTGTCCTGGACTAAGATGCCGCGGGTGCACTGTTTTCAGGTACCGTGCTGTGGGGTTTGGCGTTGGCATCCCATTTCCCTGCACACTTGCACAATGGTCCTGACCTAACAAGAGTCACAGGAAGTAAACATACAAGGGAAGCACATGGGTGGTGGGTGCAAGAGGCGGGACTGGGGATTGCCTTCCCCAGCCCTACGTTCACCCACTGCCTATAAGGAAGAGGAGAAAATAGAGGCAACAATTTGCCCCCCGCCGGGGGCCACATGCCGGCCTAGCTCTGGTTTTTCTCTAGCCCTCACGGAGATGGAACTGAAAGTTGGTGAGAAGTTTAGACACAGCGTCCCTGTCTCAGCGAACGCAGCGTGTCAGGCTGTCGAGCTACTATTTGCACCGCTCCACTCCCTTATCGAGCATGCGGCCTCTCGGATCATTGCAGCCCATCCTCCGCAGGGAAGGGTTTTGTCCCCTGTGCCTAGCAATACTAGGATGGACCAAGTCGGTAGCCAGGGTGGAACTGCTGCAAGATAAGCCGTCGCGATACTTGAGGACGGTGTAAGCAAGCGACACGGTGCTCCCTCGCTGACCCTTTCCAAAAGCCCTCCCGAACCACCCATGTCACCTAGTGCCATGGGATTTGGGTCAGCAGGAGCCCTGGGAAGAGGCAGCTGCAAAGGAGAATGACTTCAGTGCCAAATAACGACACCTCGGAACTGCATTTCACCCTGGGAGAGGGACAAGGTGGCTTGCCCGTTTCGTAAGGTGCTTCCCAAGAATGGCTTGTGTCAGTTCCATTCAGAGACCCGTCTCCCTCGAATGAGAACGAAAGAGCCCTGGATATCGCCCATTGTCTGCAGGGAGCAGACGCTGCAGAGGTCATGGCCGACTGTACAATAGAGATTGGGCTTCGTGAAACCCGACAGGGCTCCGAATGCTCCCTTTTTTCCATCAGAAGGAAAATGTAATCAGCCCTCAGAAGCCCCGGCGCTCTGCAGACAGCTGGACGGTAAATAGTTTACAGTATACTCTGTCTGGGGAGTCCAAGTTAATTTGGAACGAGCCAATATGGTTATTTCGAGCTTGTCAAGCACAATTAAAACGTACAAACTTCACAGAATCACGGTGACATCAGCAGTCACCTGGAGAAACGTTCTCCTGAAGACTCATTTGCACTCCACCCTCTCGCCATCCTCCCAAGAAAAATCTCCGGGGCATAGTGTAAACTATTTATTTTCAGAATGCTTTCCCATTGCTGACAAGCACAGACATAAATCCCTCAATGCAGAGGTGGATTTTGCCCCTCCTTCCCACTCCACTTTGGATCTGTCCCCAGGAAAACATTTTGTACGTGGGACGTACCAGGTCAGATCTCCCGCTGGCATCAATGGAAGTTAATGATTAGGCCAAACTGTTCAAGTTTTGTAGCCTTTAAGGCCAGACCAGACCATTAGCTCATCTAGAACAGAGGCCGTTAAACAACCCCCCGCTACACCCAAGATCTAGAAGAGTTACAGCCTGCAGCAGAGTGAACGGTTGCTACAGGCAGCAAACAGACATTGATGGACACCGGTGCATGTGATCACTGGTGGACATGAGCCAGGTCCACACTGATTGAATTCTCGCTCATGTCCCACTCCCATCTCTGTATCCTTCCTGTTCTGCTTTCTTGCCTCTTCAGCATCCGAGGAAGTGAGTTCTTTCTTGAAAGGTGGTGCCCAGAACTGGACACAATCCTCCAACTGAGGCCTAATCTTAGAACCATAGAGCTGGAAGAGACCTCAGAAGGCATCAAGTCCAGCCCCCTGCTCTAGGCAGGACCAATCCCAACTAAATCAACCCAGCCAGGGCTTTGTCAAGCCGAGACTTAAACACCTCTAGGGATGGAGACTCCACTACTTCCCTAGGTAACCCATTCCAGTGCTTCACCACCCTCCTAGTGAAATAGTTTGAGCCCATTCCCCCTTGTTCTGCCATCTGTCACTACTGAGAACAGCCTCTCTCCATCCTCTTTGGAACCTCCCTTCAGGAAGTTGAAGGCTGCTATTAAATCCCCCCTCACTCTTCTCTTCTGCAGACTAAACAGACCCAAGTCCCTCAGCCTCTCCTAGTAGGTCATATGCCCCAGCCCCCTAATCATTTTGGTTGCCCTCCGCTGGACCCTCTCCAGTGCGTCCACATCCTTTTTGTAGTGGGGGGCCCAGAACTGGACACAATACTCCAGATGTGGCCTCACCAGAGCCGAATAAAGGGGAATGATGACATCTCTGGATTGACTGGCAATGCTCCTCTTAATGCAACCTAATATGCCATTAGCCTTCTTGGCTACAAGAGCACGCTGTTAACTCATATCTAGCTTCTCATCCACTGTAACCCCCAGGTGCTTTTCTGCAGAACTCTTACTTAACTGGTTGGTCCCCAGCCTGTAACAATGCTTGGGATTCTTCCGTCCCAAGTGCAGGACTCTGCATTTGTCCCTGTTGAACCTCATCAGATTTCTTGTGGCCCAATCCTCTAATTTGTCTAAGTCACTCTGGACCCTATCTCTGCCCTCAAGTGTATCTACCTCTCCCCCTAGCTTAGTGTCATCCACAAACTTGCTGAGGGTGCAATCCATCCCCTCATCCAGGTCATTAATAAAGATATTGAACAAAACCGGTCCTAGAACCGAACCTTGGGGCACTCCGCTAGAAACCGACCGCCATCCTGACATCGAGCCGTTGATCACAACCCGCTGGGCCCGGCCTTCTAGCCATCTTTCTATCCATCTTACTGTCCATGTATCCAATCCACATTCCCTTAACTTGCTGGCAAGAATATTGTGGGAGACCGTATCAAAAGCCTTGCTAAAGTCAAGGTAATCAGCACAGAGTAGAACAGAAGAACGACTTCTCGTGTCTGGCTCACAACACTCCCGGGAGGTTGAGAGGTGTGCAGGCACAGCAGAAAGGAATCCTGCCCCAGGATCCCATGGGGCTGCAGGTCAGGAGCTGTCTTGGATAAGTACCTCCTAGCCAGAGCCTGCACCTGGCACTCCACTCCCTCCCCACAGCCTAACTCCCTGCCCCAACCCTCTGCACCCCTCTCCTACACCTCTGCCCCAGGTTGCAATCCCCTCCTGCATCAGGCCACAACTCAAACCTTCTGAGTCCCTGCCTGCAGCCTTGCCCCAGTTCAAAATCTTCTTGTGCATCCAATCTCTGTCCCAGATCCTGCACCTCCTCCACAGAAAATGTGGCCCTTGTCCACTTAACAAATTCTTAGCGTGCCCCCCCCATCAAAAATAATTGCCCACCCCTGCTCAAATCCTATATAAAAAGTGTCTCCACTCAACACTGTTGAATCTTTCTCTGGCCACTATGCAAGGACCTGATAGCTTTGGGGGTTCAAGTCAAGTTTCTCATGTTCACAAACATGAATCAGCATAGATGAGCTATGTTCACCATTATGTGTCCAAGAGGGTAAATATTCATGTAAGTGCTTGACCAGAGAGTACTTAATATCCTCTCTCTGAAAGTCAAGTTCCTTTACGTTGTCTCAAGTTGGACCCCAAAATCACTATTCACTTTTGAAAATCTCAGTTACATCTCTGGGATCTTCTGATTCCTCTTCAATCCCTGTGTGTGAACAGTCCCATTTATATTACTTGTAACTATCACCTCTGTTGAGGTAAGACTTAAGTTTAATCCCCAGATAATATTTTTCATTGAATGTAACCTATATTCAAAACCAGCATGGGAATTGATGGGCTATGTGTTTTTCTTCCTGACAAACAGATTAAGTAGATTAGAGTGCTACCAATCTGATATAAAAGATTGCTTTTAAAGACATTGATAGATCTCGATAAATAGTGAACTCAGTATCTTGCTTTGAAACAATTTAAATGTTACTTTAAAATAATTTTTAAAAAGCTCCTTCCGATGTACTCAAAAAAACAAACCAGAGCAACCAACTACGAAAACATAATACCGCCGGGAGATATACCGAAGTTCTGCTTAC